GAGCGCCGCCGCACTGCGCGGGAGCGCCTGCCCGAGGGCCCGGGACCTGCCTCCTGAGCCGCGCCGGCTCGGGCCAGCCAGGCGCTCCCCACCGGGGCCCGCTTCCCTCGGGCCTGCTGCGGGGATGGCGGGGACACGGAAGCCCCGGAGGGCGCGTGGAGAGGCCTGGAGAGCGAGCCCGAGACCGTTCTGGGCCGCGCCTAGCGCTCGGGCTACCCAACCCGGGGTGCCACCCACCTGGCCCACGGGGACACGTGTGGGGACTCTCGAAGAAAATCTGCAGTGGTTGCAAAAACCCTGCTGCCCCACGGGATGAGTCCGACACACGTAGTTCACGCTGACGGAGCGTTTACTGTGGGGTCGGCGCTGCCTTCTAGCTTTTTTCCTAGATTAGTTCGTTTTATTCTCGTTTTATGATGAGAGTACTGAGACGTAGAGGTTACTTGTCCACAGTCTCTCATCTGGGAGGTGGTGGAGCAGGGTGTGAACTCGAGCTGTCCAGATCTCTCAGCGAACCTTTCACCCCTGTATAAAGTGAATGCACTTGGAACAACTCTAATCAATTTTCAGCAGAAACCAGATTAGTCTGACTAGCAGCTTTTTAAGCGACTATTAAACCGTGGAGTACGGCACCAGCATTTATGGAGCACTTGCTGTGTATCTGGTGATTTACATGTCTTTACAGAATAATCTTAATACAGATGGATATTATTCCATTACACAGAATAAGAAACTGAGGCCTGAGAGGAAGTGACTTGTAAAGATTCTGGTGGAATAGTAGACTGTTGTCCAGTTGTTTTCATCGTGTGGACGATGAAACTGAAGCCCAGGAAGGTTATGTCAAGGTCACATGAGTAGTAAAGCTGGAACGGGGGCTTTTCATATTGTGGAGTGGGTCAGAACTAGGGGCTTTGGGTTGCGCGGGTGGATACAAGGCAGGATTTAGCTGTGGGGGGAACTAGGCTGGGTAGTCATGGAGGAAGGAATCCTCCATCTAGGACAGCATGTTGTGTGTCAGACCTGCCCATATGGCACATTTAGTCCTCAGGGCACATGGCAAAGCTGGGAATGATTAGGCGTACTTTAAGATGAAGAAGCAGGGGTTTAGCGGGGATCTTGCTGTTGCTCTTGGCTTGCCCTGGGACAGGTATTCCTGGGACTGCTGCAAGACCTCAGTTCAGCTCCCCTGGGCACCAAGAGCCTGGAACACTAGCCCCTACTGTGCCTTTGTTATTGAAGGGCCCATGGAAAAGTCTGGAGCTGGCACAGCTGCCATGAGGGCAATGAAGGAGTTAGTTTTAGCTGGAGGGGCATGTGATGGTAAGGTGGTGGAGCTTAGCAGGACAGGACAGAATCCACTGTCCTGTACCACAGGGTCTTGCCCAGGAGGGCATTGAGAAGGGCCTCTGTTCTATCCTGCCTTTACTGTCAGTTTTACCTCTGCCATTGACTGACTTTGGAACCTGGGCAAACTCCTCTCTGACTCCTTTCCTCATTGGTAAATGCTGGGAGTTGGACTAGGTTCAGATATGTGTTGAGATTTTTTTTTCTTTTTGCAACCCTTTTCTGGTGCCAGCCCCTTTCATGGATTTATCTCATTCAGTTCTGACAGCAGATAGTCAGTACACATTTTGCTGACTCTTTCTCTGAGAGGCCCTGCAGTAGATACAAAGATGACCCAAGGATAGGGTTAGACAGAAATGCATACAGATTTGTCTCCATTTTATGGGAGCAGGTCTGCCACTTCTCTATCTTCACGGTCTCCACCCCAGTTCTGAGGTCTTTTCAAAAGACAAATCTAGTCTTTGAATAATATCTCCTTTTTATTTTTTTATTGTTTTGAGTTGGAGTCTCACTCACTCTTGTCGCCCAGGCTGGAGTGTAGTGGCATGCTAATGGTCACTACAGCCTCAACCTGCTGGGCTCCAGAGATCCTTCTGCTTCAGCCTTCCAAGTAGCTGGAACTACAGATGCACGCCATTATGCCGGCTAGTTTTTGTGATTTATTGTAGGGACGAGGTCTCACCAAGTTGTCCAGGCTGGTCTCGAACCCCTGGTCTCAGGCAATCCTCTTGCCTCGGCCTCCCAAAGTGCTGACATTACAGGCTGAGCCACTGTACCCAACCAATATCTCCTTTTAAAAAAAAAAATTTTTTTTTTTTTTTTGAATCAGCGTCTCAGGCTAGAGTGCAGTAACACTATCATGGCCACTGCAGCCTTGACCCCCCCGGGCTCAGGTGATCCTTCCACCTTAGCTTCCCAAGTAGTTGGGACAATAGGCAAGTACCACCATGCTTGGCTTATTTTTTTTTTCTTTTCTTTTTTGTTTTTGAGTTGGAGACTCATCATCTAGGCTGGAGTGCAGTGGCACGCTCACGACCACCGCAGCCTTGACCTGTTTGGCTCAGGTGAGCCTTTCACCTCAGTCTTCCAAGTAGCTGGAACTGGAGGCATGTGCCACCATGCTGGCAATTTTTGGATTTATTGTAGAAATGAGGTCTTGTCATGTTGCCCAGGCTGGTTTTGAACCTGTGGGCTCAGGCAGTCAATCCTCTCACCTCGGCCTCCCAAAGTGCGTGAGCCACCGGGCCCGGCCTAATTTTTTTTGGTGTCTGTTGCTCAGGTTGGTCTTGAACTGATCTCAAGCAGTCCCCCCTCCTGGGCCTCCCAAAATGCTGGGATTACAGGCCTGAGCCACTGTGCCTGGCCTTGAATAATACCCCTTTTACAATGGTAGGATTTCCACCGTTGTAAAGTCTTGACTCACCATACTCTGAGCCACCCTGGCCCACTCTTTGTTCCTCCAGCAGGAATATACCAAGTTCTTTGCTGTTGCTAGGTTTTTTTGAGCACCTCCTGTGTGTCAGGTACTATATTAGGTACTTGGGAGGAGGCTTCCTGCTAAGAACTGCTTGGGTTAAAGCCCCGAGGTGGGAATTAGTTTATCTAGGCTGAAGATAATCAGGAGGTCTATGTGCCAAGCATCTAGTGAGGCGAGAGGAAAAGTGAAGAGGTGGGGTAGACACGCATGTGGTTAGGGCCCTGAAGGCCCAGTGAGGAGTAGGGTTTTATCCATGGATTAGGGAATGCCATGGGAGGATGTGTTTGTCTGGTTTGTTTGTTTACTTTAGTAGAAGAGTAGAGATGATGTAACTTAAATTTTTAAAAACTTCTCTCCTCCGGCTGCTGTGGGGAGAATGGTTCGTGGGGGTAAGGGGGTCAATGAAGAGGCTGCGGCAGCAGTGTCTACCATGAGGGTGGTGAGATGCAGTTGGATTGCTTATATAATTGGGATGTTGAGCTAAAAATGTGCTGATGGAGGTGAAAGGGAAAGAGGAATCAAGAAGTCTTACAGGTTTTTGGCCAGAGTAGCTGATTGAATGGTGGTTTCATTTCCTAAAATGGGAGGAGTGGGGAGTAACTAGGGTAGGGAGGACAGTCATGAGGGTTCTTGCCTGACACATAATAGAGGCCCGATTAGCTAGCCAAGTGGAGATACTGAGTAGGAAATTGGATTTTATGAGCCTCAAGTTCAGGGGAGAAGTTTGGGTTGGAGATATATGGGTGGGAGTCATCATGAGGGAGGAAGTTTTGTTTTTTTTTTTTGAGTTGGAGTCTCACTCTGTCGCCCAGACTGGAGTGCAGAGGCCGCTCCCGGCCACCGCAGCCTCGACCTGCTGGGCTCCGGCGATCCTTCCGCCTCAGCCTTCCAAGTAGGCGGAATTACAGGCATGTGCTACCACGCCCGGCTGATTTTTTCTTTTATTTATTGTAGAGATGAGGTCTCGCTGCCCAGAGGTCTTGAACCTGCGGGCTCAGGCAATCCCCTCACCTCAGCCTCCCAAAGGCACGGGATTACAGGCTGAGCCACCGAGCCGGCTAGAGAGGAAGTATTTAAAGTTATAAGACTGAGTGAGCACATCTGGTCAGAGTTAGAGAAGAGGGAGACCATGGAGCCCTGAGATCTTGCAAATTAAGTTAGAGTCTGTTAGATGAAGAGGAACAAGGAAGAGAGGTGGAAAAGCACAGGAGGGACATGGTCACGGGAGCCAAGTAAGGAAGACATAATCAGTGGGTTTGGTGCTGCTGGGAGAAACAACAGCACAGATGTGGGAATCAGGCTGGTCGTCGGACACCTTGAGAAGAATAGGTTCAGTGCAGTAGTGAATTCCTTAGGGAGGTGAAGGGATATGGAATTGGGTCTGGGGAGCAGGGGCAGCTCATCTATTTTAACAGAAAAGAATGTCCAGTCTACAGCTTCAGATGAGGGCTAGGGGAGTCCATAGAGGAGAAATGGCCTGCTTCCGAATTCTTCTCAGTGTATTGTGAAGTGAGGTTGTTAGTCAATGGGAAAAGGTGTTGGAGGTTTGGGAAAAGTGGAAAAGGAGAGTAAATTGACTAAGAAAATGTAATAGGATTTCTGCAGTATGTTTTGTGTCCCTTGAGATTTGTTTTTTTTTTTTTTTTTTTGAGTTGGAGTCTCACTCTGTCGTCCAGACTGAGTGCAGTGGCACGCTCCTGGCCACTGCAGCCTTGACCTACTGGGCTCCAGCTATCCTCCCACCTCAGCCTTCCAAGTAGCCGGAACTACAGATGCGCACTACTACCACGTCCGGCTAATTTTTTGATTTATTATAGAGATGAGGTCTCGCCAACTTGCCCAGGTGGGTCTTGAACCCACAGGCTCAGGCAATCCACTCGCCTCTTGGCCTCCCAAAGTGCTGGGATTACAGGATGAGCCAGAGATTTATGTTCTTAATGGGACCTCTTGATGTAGTTGTGATTCTCCCGCTGGATTCAGTGACTTAGGTGCAGTGAAGGGTTGAGTTTAACTGGTGTGGGTGCCAAGTGAGTTCTCAAAGGAAAAGAGAGCAGAGGACAGTGGAAATTGGTAGAGTCAATGAGTTGGGAGTTCTGACCTGACAGACCACAGCCTTGTTGAAGCTAGGGCTCTGGAAGCAGAGTGCTGGAAAGATGAGACATGGCCAGAGTTGGTTGCTTGAAATCCACCTTTCCAAGGGCGCGCTGCTGTCGGTGATGGCCTACCAGGGTAGGAGGGATGGAACGTAGGGGAGTGGTATGAGGAAGGGGAAGGCTTGTGTCGAGGCTAGGCCCAGTGAGCGTGGTCTCTTCCATGGGGTATTTCATCTCTGAAATTGTCTGGGTGCGCGGTAGAAAGCTGACTGACTTGCTCAGTTTTTTGTTTATTATTACATTCTTAAATCCTCTAGAGAGTTGTTTTCCTCCCTTCTACCTCCTTGAGTGGTTGGCAGAACCCAAGCTTTCCTAAAGATAAAAATCACCAGGAGTCCCAGGCCTTGTACTATATCAGTTGAATCTGACTTTCCAGGGCAGATTTACAAGTGTGCCAGGTGGACATCCCTTATTCAGGGAAGTTTGCAAATACTGACCTATGGACTGGCCTCTGATATGACCTTGGGAATGAATAATCAGTGTGCAGGGGAGAGAGGAGGGTGGGATGATTAGGTGGAAGAGTATTGAGATAGTGAGGTAGCTCAATAGTATCCTTTCCTGCCTGAGAATTTGGACAAATTTGAGACATTTGGGGTGGCAGATAGTGCCCAAAACATACTTTTTAAAATTACATCAAAGGCAGAGAATTTAGATTAGTATGAAAGCCAAATTATCTTGCTAACTGAACTTCTAAATTCAGCAGTTACCCATTATAGACAAGTGGGCTCGGGTAGGTCTCTGTGTGGAAGAGCAGAGAAGACCCACTTCCTGCAGTTGGGCAGGTTGGTGCTAGCTTGCAAAAAGAAGGGAGAGCTGAGCTGAGCATGCCTAGTTAATTCCTCTTACTAATCAGACAAGTCCACTCTACTTCCCCCAGGGCAGAGAAAGGCCAAGAGTGTTAGTTATACTGAGTTTCCTCCCTGTGGAAAGAAATATCAGGAGTGAGGAAGAAACATTTTTTACATCTTCAAGAAGATCAAGGAACTGTGTCAAGTTCAGGGTGTTAGGTAGTGTTATGAGTGTTCAGTCGCCTGGAGAGGAAGACGGAGAGCTAGTAGCTACAATCTTCAGGGAATGAGGAGGAGTGATCCGGAAGGCATTAGCAGAAAGGAAGGCTAGTGGGAGGTTTTATCTGAGAGTTGTTTTTCTTTTTTCTTTTTTTTCTTTTTGAGTTGGAGTCTCACTCTGTCCTTCAGACTGGAGTGCAGTGGCACGCTCTTGGCCACCGCAGCCTCAACCTGCTGGACTCCGGCGATCCTTCCGCCTCAGCCTTCCAAGTAGCTGGAGCTACAGGCATGTGCTACCATGCCCGGCTAGTTTTTTGATTTATTGTAGAGATGAGGTCTCGCCAAGTTGCCCAGGCGGGTCTCAAACCCTTGGGCTCAGGCAATCCACTCACCTCAGCCTCCCAAAGCGCAGGATTACAGGCTGAGCCACCAAGCCTAGCTGAGAGTTACTTTTCAAAGAGGTACTTCTTTGTGATTTTCATACCTGTGTGATCAATTAACTTTGTTCTCCCACAAGGCAGTAAGCTGTAGCTAGGCAGGGAACATGTCTTTCTTGACTACCCTGGCTCCATAAATACTTGCTAAAAGAGTGAGAGAATGCAGTGACAGGTTGCTAAGCCCCAGTGTTTTTATTTTTTATTTTTAGTGTTTTGGGGACAGAGTCTCGTTATGTTGCCCAGGCTGGCCTCAAACTCTTGGTCACAAGTGTTTGCTCCTTCTTTAGCCTCCCAAAGTGCTGGGCTTTCAGTTGTGGGCCACCATACCAGGCCATAATCTCTAGTGTTTTGAGTGTACACATGCTTCTTGGTTGGTAGGATGAGGTGGCTCATGGAACTCCCATCTATTTTGCCCCTGTAGCTGACATCAGCCTGGCCGCCTGGGGGCGCAAGGCCCTGGACATCGCAGAGAATGAGATGCCCGGCCTGATGCGCATGCGAGAGTTGTACTCAGCCTCCAAGCCACTGAAGGGTGCCCGCATCGCTGGTTGCTTGCACATGACTGTGGAGACTGCTGTCCTCATAGAGACCCTCGTCGCCCTGGGTGCTGAGGTGAGGCCCACAGCAGTGTGACCCTGGATGTGGTCCCTGCCCTCTTAGGATTCAGCCAGGGAAGAAGACAACTGTGTGGGGGTGGGAAGAAGCCCAGGTTTGGAGCCTAGGACCTCAGGCCATCACACTAGCTAATTTGTTTTTTTGTTTTGGAGAGACAAAAGCTTATTCTAGCCCAGGAGTTTAAGACCAGCCTGGACAACATAGTGTCCAAGTAGCTGGAACTACAGCTGCGTGCTACCACGCCCCGCTAATTTTTTGATTTATTGTAGTGATGAGGCCTCGCCAAGTTGCCCAGGCGGGTCTCGAACCCACGGGCAATCCATTCACCTTAGCCTCCCAAAGTGTGGGATTATAGGCTGAGCCACCGAGCCCGGCTATCTCCTTTTTTTTTTTTTTTTAAGTTTTTTAAAAGTTTAATGAAGCCAGTAAGGCATATACATTGTATTCTGACAGACATTAATATCTGCTTTCCCTTACCAAAGAAAATGGCACATACTTTATCAAAATTTGACAATTCAGAGTAAAGGTACTGAGTTTAAGCTTCAGAGCACCAACTTAAACAAAACAACCAAAAAAACTATTATTCAACTCAGAAAGAGGAACTAGAATCAAGGCATAAAGGGAGATTAAATGTGTTCCTCCATCTCCAGTCCTTAGGAATGGGGTTCTAGCCACTTGTGAGCATACAACCAAGCCCCAATTTCAGAATCGAAATTTACAGTGATAGAAAAAGGTAACTCCAAAAGCATTTTCTTGGTATATTTCAATGGGAGGCTTGAAGTATTCGTAATACATAGGCTTATCTGGTTCAGGTCAAATGACAGGTTGCTGTAATTATTCCTATTACATTAAAAAAAAATTTTTTGCGGAATTTAGAGATACCTCACTTTCATTCCTAGTTTTAGTGTGGAATTCACTTCTTTAAATAAGGGCTATATCTGTAATTATACAGAACTTCAATTCACACAGTATTTCTAACATTCCATTCACATTCTACCCAGTCAGTGAATATTACAGTTAACTTAGCAAAGTTTCTTCACAGAAAGATATTAAGTGACTGAAGAAATTGCGAACTTTAACAAAGTGCTGTGAGTAATTACTGGAAAAACCCCTACACTGATTTGCAATGGTCTTTTAAGGATTAAAAATAGGAAATAACTGATACTGGACTACAAGTTTGCAAGGAAACATGTTTACTGTCCTACTCGATACATAATATAATATGATAGAATAAATTACAGTACCTTACCCTGTCTCCTGGCAGGCTGACATCAATTATTCATCTAAAAAACACTATCATTCAGTTCAAGAGATTAAAAAGGAAGATGAAGCATGCTCTAAAATATTGTAGCTACAAGAGGTCTTTTTTATTTATTTATTTTTTTTTGAGTCGGACTCTCACTCTGTCACCCAGCCTGGAGCTCAATGGCATGCTCATGGCCACCGCAGCCTCTACCTGCTGGGCTCAGGCGATCCTTCCGCCTTAGCCTTCCAAGTTGCTGGAATTACAGGTACGTTCCACCACACTCAGCTAATTTTTTGATTTATTGTAGAGATGAGGTCTCTCCAAGTTGCCCAGGCTGGTCTTAAACCTGTGGGCTCAGGCAATCCTCTCACCACAGCCTCCCAATGTGCTGGGATTATAGGCGTGAGCCGCCGTGCCCAGCTGACAAGAGGTCTTATATGCACTCAAAAGAGGAATCTATTGAGAACTTTTATTTAGGTCTACTTAACATCTAGAGATTCTCCATGCCATTCCATCTTATCCAGAAGGAGATTCCAGACTCTCCTTTTTAGGAGAGGGATTGGAGGGACAGGGAGTTGGGTTTTGCTATTTAAGTTGCAATTGCATTATTAGCAGATAAAATAAGAGTGTTATTTTCCACTCATTCCAGTGGAAACTGCACACAGCATGGCTTCCATGAAAATTAAAATAATAGACTGGAATATATATACCCCCCCCATCCATCTCCCTCTCACTGAGGGTGACGCTGAGCCACAAAGGAAGCCCATTCTCAGTGGTCATGACCTCTCTGCTGTAAGCCTAGACTTCTTCCTGGAACTCTAGACTTGTACATCCAGGTGCTGGTGAGTCATCTCCACTTGAAGGTCTAGTACACATTGCAAGCTGAACATGTTCAAACAAACTTAGAATTTTCTGCCCACTCTTTCCAAAATCTTCCATGAGTAACGGAAACTCCAGCCTTCCACATTCTCTCAGTTTAAGAATCCGGGAGACAGCCAGGCATGGTGGCTTATACCTGTAATTCCAGCACTGGGAGGCCAAGGCTGGAGAATTGCTTGAGGTCAGGAGTTTGAGACCAGTCTAGGCAATACAGCAGGACCTCATCTATATAAAAAAATTGAGCTGGGTATAGTGGCATGCACCTATAGTCCCTGCTACTTAGGAGGCTGAGGCAGAAGGATCACCTGAGCCCAGAAAGTCGATGCTGTGGTGAGCTGTGATTGTGCCACTGCATTCCACCCTGGTGACAGAGACTGATTAAAAAAAAAAAAAAAAAGTCTGAGCATCATCCTTGTCTTTCTCTTTCCCTCTATCCTTTTTTCCTCTATTCCCCTCTCTTACTCTAACAACTAATCCCTGAGCAAATTTTGTCAACTCAACCTTCAAAATATAATATGCCCAGGATCCAACAGCTTCTCATCACCTCTGCTGCTACTATTCTGTTTCTTGTCTGGACTCGTCCTCAATAGCTTCTTCACTTGTCTCCTTGCTTCAGCCTTTTCCCTTCCACACAATACCAGAGTGACACTTTAAAACTTGAGCCAGTCGGGCTTGGTGGCTCAGCCTGTAATCCCGCGCCTTTGGGAGGCTGAGGTGAGTGGATTGCCTGAGCCCGTGGGTTCGAGACTTGCCTGGGCAGCGAGACCTCATCTCTACAATAAATCAAAAAAATCAGCCGGGCGTGGTAGCGCATGCCTGTAATTCCGGCTACTTGGAAGGCTGAGTCAGAAGGATCGCTGGAGCCCAGCAGGTCGAGGTGCGGTGGCCGGGAGCGGCCACTGCACTCCAGTCTGGGCGACAGAGTGAGACTCCAACTCAAAAAAACAAAACAAAACAAAACAAAAAAACTTGAGCCAGATATCTTCTCTGCTCTGGCTGCCATCTCCTTACCCAGAGTACCCACCCGGTGGTCCAGGAGCTGGCTATTCCTTGATCACAAGCCCTTCACCCCTACCTCCAGGACTTTCCCCTGTTCTCCTTTCTCATGACCCTGGTGCTTCTGAGCTGCTAGTGGCCAACAGCTTGGGTTTTGACGCCTTTTCTAGGCGCAGTGGTCCAGCTGCAACATCTTCTCTACTCAGGACCATGCAGCTGCTGCCATTGCCAAGGCTGGCATCCCAGGTGAGTCCTGTTTGTTGCTGGGCATATGGGATATGTGAAAGGGCCCTGTTCTGTTTACTTCACAGACTCCTACAGCAATAGGCTTCCTATGGCAGGGCAGAGGAAACATGCCCACTAAATTCTAACCTAGTGACTCGCAGGAAAGAGCTGCTGTGCCTCATCATGATCTGAAATCGTTTGGAAGGGGACTCTTGACCAGCTTAAGCCATATATCCAGGATCTTGTGATTGGGAACTACCTCATGTGGAGGAGAGAAGTTAAAGGAAGGATGGGTTAGACAGTGGCAGCGTGCCCCAGAGGTTCATTACCTAGGGTATGGTGACCTAGGTGGCTGGAAAGGACCAGGTCTAAAGACAGAGGACTTCCTCACAAAGTGCTGGGCACATATCTATCTGAGCTTGGGGAGGGAAGTGGTTGGATCTGACCTGATGATTAAATAGGACATTCAAGATTCCTTCTAACCAATAACAGAAAGGAGGGGGAGGGTGCTGGAGGCCTCCACAGATTGCCCCAGGCTGAATGGACTTGTCCCCCACTCCTCAGCCTTGGCATTGTGTTCTTTTTTTTTTTTTTTTTCCTCTTTGAGACAGAGTCTCACTATGTTGCCTAGGTTGGTCTTGATCTCCTAGGCTCAAGCGATCCTATTGCCTTGGCCTCCCAAAGTGCTGGGACTACAGGTGTGAGCCACTGTGCCTCACTCAGCTTTGTTTTCAAGACCATTGTCTGCTCCAGAGGTGGAGCAGGTGGAGAGGGCCAGCTGACTCTGCTTGGCTGGCTCCTTTGCTCAGGAAGCTTCTGGGAACCCCACACCTGTGTCCCAGTGATACCTCATGATGAGAGGATTGTGAACTGGCAGTAGTGGCCCTTGGTTCTGGTGCCTGTTCTGGAATTCCAGGCTGATTGGCCCAGGTGCATCTTGGCTCCTCTCTGGGCATCTGTAAGTGGTGATGATGGCAATGCCTGCCTCACAGGGTTTCTGTGAGGAAAAATGAGATGGGGCATGACGCAGTCAGAGTAATATCTGACTCAAAGAAAGTGCCCATCCATGGTAGCTGCTGTAAGTAATGTTTGACCAGACTTCACCTAAGACTACCCACTACAGATGCTGCTGGATGTCCTCTACTGCAGAGCAAACTCTAGGTTCTGCCTTGTGAATCCCACTGTGGAAGAGGCATTGTGGGACCCACAGTGGCAGTAGGTATCGTGGGTGGGAGCCCTGGTCCCTGTGAGTTGATGTTCTAGTCCTCGAGGCCCAGATAGAAGGGAATGGTAATGTAATCATTTTCAGATATCTATATCTGGAGGGTTGTCCTTATTCTCCGTCTCACTTAGTCTGTACTTTTGTGAGGCCCGTTTACAGAGGAGAAAGCTGAGGTCAGAGAGGTAGAGTGATTTGTCCAAGGTCACATAGCTGGCAAGTGGGGGAACAAGAACTTGAACCCAGATCTATCTGGCTCCAATTTGTGTTCTTACCACCTCCGAGTCCTCAGAGGGGATAGAGGTGACTAAGGGTGGGAATTGGGAAGGAGGTGGTATTGGCTTTGCCAGGGTAAGTCCCTGGAGTAGGTACCAGCAAAGATAGGCCCTCATGTGCCACTCACCCTCCAGTGTATGCATGGAAGGGCGAAACGGATGAAGAGTACCTGTGGTGCATCGAACAGACACTGTACTTCAAGGATGGGCCCCTCAACATGATCCTGGACGACGGTGGTGACCTCACCAACCTTATCCACACCAAGTACCCACAGCTCCTGTCGGGTGAGCAGGGCGGGGCAGTTGGCTGGTGCTGGCGGCCTGGCTGGGTACTCGCCCACATGAAGGCAGCAGGCCTGGCAGGACTCTCAATGCCTCGAGCAGCAGAATCTGTGGAAGACGGGAGGACAGCAGGCTGTTGGCAGGCATGCTGGGGCCTCCTGACTTACAGTGTGAGGCTAGGGCAGCTGAAAGGGCCTGGCTGAGATGACAGACAGCCCAAGGGCAAGCATAGAGCCAGGGCAGGGAATCGCTGTGAAGAACAGTTTTGTTAGAAGCAGGGTGGGGAGGAGAGTAGTAGGGTGAGGAAGAGTGTGCAGTGAGTGCAAAGGTCCTGGTCAGGAAAGGGTGGAATATTTAGGAAACAAAGGAAGGCAGCATGGTAACAGTGAACAAAGGGAGCCTTCACTGAGGAGTGTTGCAGCATATGGTTAGAGCTTTAGTGAAGGCCAGATGTGTGAGCATCTCATAGGCCAAGAGAAGAGTGTAACTTGATTCTGAGAGCAAGGGATGTAATGGGAAGGTTTTGGAAAGATTTCTCTGAGAATATACTTGTTCTGAAGGATGGGTTGTAGCAGGGAAACCAGGCAGAAGGTGATGGGGTCATGGATTAGGCAGTGGCAGTGAGGATGGAGAAGTGTTGGGAGGTAGAATAGGGTTGACAGTGGAGTCCCTGTAGGAGGATGTTGGCCCTGCTGATTGGGTGGACCATAGTATTAGTGAGAGGGATGGGAACTCAGAAAGAGATAGTTTTAGGTGCAGAGAAGAATTGGGAGAGTTCAGATGCAGTCTCTCTGATGCGCATGCTTCTTCCCCTCTTGTTCAGGCATTCGAGGCATCTCTGAGGAGACCACGACTGGGGTCCACAACCTATACAAGATGATGGCCAACGGGATCCTGAAGGTACCTGCTATCAACGTCAATGACTCCGTCACCAAGGTGAGCCTGTGGGGCAGTGACAGCTCAGCTGCTGGCTCCCTGAGCAGCTCAGGAGTAGGCCTCTGAAACATGCCTAGGAAGGCTAGGGACTTGAAGCCCTCATTTGAGGTGAGGGGAAAGTGGTTATAGACTTAGGGTAATGAGTGCATTAAAGAAGGGAAGGGGCCAAGCATGGAGCTCATGCCTATAATCCCAGCACTTTGGGAGGCCAAGGCCAGAGGATTGCTTGAAGCCAGGAGCTCAAGACCAGCCTGGGCAACATAATGTGAACTAGTCTCTACCAAAAAATCAGAAAAGGAACTGGGTGTGGTGATGCACCTGTAGTCCCAGCTACTCGGGAGGCTGAGGTGGAAGGATTTCCTGTGCCTGGGAGGTTGAGGCTGGGGTGAGCTGTGATCATGCCACTGCACTCCAGCCTGGGCAACAGAGTGAGACCCTGACTCAAAAAATAAAAAATAAAAATAAAAACAACACACACAAAAAGAGAGGGGGGCTACACAGTGGTCCTCAGAGCTGGGTTTTAAGAATTTTGTGGTTTTGGGATCAAGAGCTTTGAAGTTAAGCATATTATTTGACTGAGCAGTCTCTCCTGGTAATTGATCCCCAGGAAAGCTTCTGGACTGGCAGAGAAAAACTAGAGAGAGGGTTTTAGAGCTGATCAGGCTGAGGGGCATGTGGGGACTTTGGCTGGTAGAGGAGTCACAGAAGGGGACTGATCCAGGCCGAGATGCTGTGTAGACCGTGGTGCCTGAGCCCTGTGGAATACTTTGAGGCCATCAGCCTTGCCTGCCCCACTGCTCCCTTGGCTCCTCTCCTTTCAGAGCAAGTTTGACAACCTCTATGGCTGCCGGGAGTCCCTCATAGATGGCATCAAGCGGGCCACAGACGTGATGATTGCAGGCAAGGTGGCAGTGGTAGCGGGCTACGGTGACGTGGGCAAGGGCTGTGCCCAGGCCCTGCGGGGTTTTGGAGCCCGTGTCATCATCACTGAGATCGACCCCATCAATGCACTGCAGGCTGCTATGGAGGGTATGCTATGGCGAGGGTTGATTGTCAGCCACTGGGGCTGGAGGAGGGGCAAGGCCATTCTAGATAACCCCACGACCATGGTCTCTGCACAGGCTATGAGGTGACCACCATGGATGAGGCCTGTCAGGAGGGCAATATCTTTGTTACCACCACAGGCTGTGTTGACATCATCCTTGGCCGGTAGGTGCCCAGCAGGGGTTCCTGAGGAGGGAGGAAGGCTAGCTCGGGACTGTTCTTTGTCCCTGACAGTCTCCCATGTTCTCGGTTTTCCCCACAGGCACTTTGAGCAGATGAAGGATGACTCCATTGTGTGTAACATTGGACACTTCGACGTGGAGATTGATGTCCGGTGGCTTAATGAGAATGCTGTGGAGAAGGTGAACATCAAACCCCAGGTGAGAAGCTCTGGCTCTGCCAGCAGGGTGAGCAAATGGAGTGTAGAGGAGGGGTGTGCTCATGGGCTGGCTGCCAGGGAAGGCAGCAACGGAGGCTTTGCAACCTGCACAGTAGGATGGAGAAGAGGTCCTGGTTTCAGAGCCAGGCTTGGGGTGTCGACCTTTATCCTGAGGGCACCCAGAATCCTTGAAGGAATTAGGCAGGTGAGCTCTACCTGGTGAGGTTGCAATTTTGGAAAGATTACTCTTGCAGAGTGTGCAGAGTGAAAACTGGCAGGAAGGGAAAGGAAGCTTTTAGGGCAGGCTCTTACAGTCCCTGCAAGGGATGATGGGAGCCTCCATGTGGAGAACGTGGGGGTGGATGAACTGGATGTGGGATCAGGATGGGGGAGGAATCATAAAGGATGCTAGGTTTCTGGCTCGAACAGCTGTGTGAAAAGCAGACTCCTGTATTGAGTTGGGGAAGTAACAGGTTTGCAGTGGGGCATTGGAAGACGAGTTGCTGTGAGGTATGTGAGATTTTATTTGGGTGATATTTATTGTGGGTTCTTTCCTTTGATTATAAAAGTAATATGCTTTTGGGAGATATTTTCGCTTTGGATATCAGGAGCTTTAAAGTTATGCAAACTCTTTGATTGGGCAATCTCTCCTAGTAAATGACCCTCAGGAAATAATTAGATAAAGATGTTCATCACATTTTTTTTAAAGGGAATAAAAAACCACTTACTGGGAGTCTTTTGAATTTGTGTCCATACTATCTTGGAGGTGTTGACCAGAGTGCTGACACCTACCCCATCAGAGCCACAGAGAGGCAGATAGTCGATTCTGTGAACACCATATATCACATGCCCCACATTGCTCGCATTGGTTCCTCTGCCTCAGTGTGGGAGCTCTCCTTGGCTAGGTCCTAGTTTTCCTTGGTTAGTCTAGGGGTGTCCGTTTCTGGCTAGGCAGATGATAGCTTCATCTCTCTACCTAGAAGACCTGGCATTTACCACAGTGCAGGGGTGGGTGGGGCATGCATTCCTGGCACTTAACACTGCTGAGAGCCAGCCAGACCTCCTGCAGAAGCATCACAGACTACATCGGGGTAATGGGCACCTCTCCCCCAGGCTACCCTCCAAAGCTGGACTCCATCCTCAAAATCTGGTCACCAGTCTTTTTCCTAACTTTGTTTCTTGTCTGTCCTGTAAAAGACCTGTGAACTGAAGCCATCTTGGACCATTCCCTGAAAACCCACCCAGCTCCTGCTTCTGGACATCTGTCTAGACAGCTGCTTTTGTTTGGAATATCACATGCCCTCTCTTTGCTTATCCTCTCAGCCCAGTTCAAGTGATGCCCGTCCTAGCTGGCTGCCCAGGCAGAGGCAATGCCCACACTCTTGGTACAGACCTCTGGTGCAGTTGGAGTCACTGGCTTTGGTCTTTGCCTTAACTGTTTTTCCATGAGGCCAGAGTCCAGGTAAATGTGTCCCTGCAAAAGACTTGGCACAGGTGCATGTCACTGAATATTTACTGAATGAAGGAATGCTTGGTGGACATCGACACCTTTCCTTGGCCCTGTGCTAGGCCTTTTGGGACAGCTTAGAAGCCCGGGCTTTTGGAGACATGTTTGAGAGGCAGTGCGAAGGAGGAGGGATGGCAAGTGAAAAGATGAGAGTGAGGAGAGGCTGGGCTTGGTGGCTCAGCCTGTAATCCCAGCACTTTGGGAGGCGGAGGCGAGTGGATTCGAGACCAGCCTGGGCAGCTTGGCGAGACCTTGTTTCTACCATAAATCAGAATTAGCTGGGTGTGGTAGTATGCGCCTGTAGTTCCAGCTACTTGGAAGGCTGAGGCGGAAGGATCGCTGGAGGAGCTCAGCAGGTCGATACGAGCGTGCCACTGTACTTCAGCTTGGGCAATAGCATGAGACCCCGACTCAAAAAAAAAAAAAAAAAGAGTGAGGAGAAAGCAAATCTATGTGTGTTCAGACAGCTGGGACAGTTGGAGGCTCGGGCATTTGGCTGGGATTTCTACTTAACATTTACTCGTTAAACCAGGAGTTCTTAACCTTGGCAGAGGCACCTGGGAGCCATGCCATTGGCCACTTGAATAGGAATCTCTAGGAATAAGGCCCAGGGTATACCCATTTTTTAAAGCTTCCAAAGTGCAGCCAAAGTTGAGCACCACTGCATTCATTCAACTTTTACTAAACTTTTACTAAGCTATGTTCAACTATTTTTTTTTTGAGTTGGAGAGTCTTACTCTGTCACCCAGGCTGGAGTGCAGTGGCATGCTCATGGCCACTGCATCCTTCCACCTTAGCCTTCCAAGTAGATGTAACTACAGGCATGTGCCACTGCATCCAGTTAATTTTTTTTTGTTGTTGTTCAATTTTTGACATAGTATTTTTTTTTTTTAATCAGTATTTTTTATTATGGTTTTGTGGGGTACAGTTAAAGGTTAGGTGTACAATTACGTTTCATTCAGGCACCCTGTTGATAAGAGGTATTTTCCCATCCCCCGACAGATATTTGCTACTGTTAATCCCATCCCCCTCCCCCCCATAGTTTCCCAGTACCGTCAGTCATTTTCTTATAGTATTACATGCATCCAGTTAATTTTTTGATTTATTGTAGAGATGAGGTCTCGCCAAGTTGCCCATGCTAGTCTCGAACCCCTGGGCTCAGGGAATCTTCTTACCTTGGCTTCCCAAAGTGCTGGGATTATAGGTGTGAGCCGCTGTGCTTGGCTGGCTGTTCAGCTATTTAATGGTTATTGAGAACATGGGATCTGTCCTCACATTGTCCAGACTCCAATTGCAGTTACTTCTTTGTGTGTGACTCTGGACAAATGACTTAACCCTATAAATTCCAGTTTTTAAAAAAAATCTGTGAAATGGGACTGATAGTTGTGATAAAATCATAGGATTGTTTTCAGGATTAAATGTGATCATTCTGTGAGAAGGACTTAGTACAGGGCACGTAACAATAATAGTAACAACCATAATATTAACTGTTGTTTACTGAGTACTTAATATGTGCCAAGTGCTTGACGTGTGTCAACTCATTAAATTCTTACAGGAGACCTGTGAGGTCTGCACCTCAGAGTTGCCTAATAAACATCGACTGTTATTAATTGTGTGCCAGGCCCTGTGCTGGAGGTTGTTCTGGGGCAGTCCAGAACCTCATGGGCACCACTGGAGACAGGGAGACCTACTGGACAGGAAGGTAGGGCATGGGAGCAGGGCCTTGCCAGCCCTCAGTGTTGCTCTGCCTACTTGCAGGTGGACCGCTACCGGCTGAAGAGTGGGCGCCGCATCATCCTGCTGGCTGAGGGCCGTCTGGTCAACCTGGGTTGTGCCATGGGCCACCCCAGCTTCGTGATGAGTAACTCCTTTACGAACCAGGTGATGGCGCAGATTGAACTGTGGACTCATCCAGACAAGTACCCCGTTGGGGTTCACTTCCTGCCCAAGAAGGTGAGTTTTTACCACCAGCTCAAGCGGAGGGCCATGTTTCTAACACTGAGCTCCCCACAGAGGCTTGCCAGGGTTTAGTGAGTGCTTGCCTGCCTGTCCTCTTAGAGGTCCTCATGGGGTCCTCTCTGGTGCAGAAATTGTTCTCCCATTTGACAGAAGAGGAACTGAGGCCCACAGAGGGGATGGTTTCTTGGAGCACACCAGAGTAGCTGGACTGGGTGTTGAGAAGAGCATGGGCTTTGGAGTGGGACATGTCCAGGTTCAAATCTTAGCCTCACCACTTAGAGGCCATGTAACTGGGGCAAGTTATTTAACTTCTCTATGCCTCCGTTTCCTTATCTGTAAAACGAAGGTAATAGTACCTCTCTTTTTTTTTTTTTTTTTGAGTTGGCGTCTCACTCCATCGCCTAGACTGGAGTACAGTGGCACACTCACAGCCACCCAAGCGTTGACCTGCTGGGCTTCGGCAATCCTTCTGCATCAGCCTTCTTTTTGAGTTGGAGTCTCACTCTGTCGCCCAGACTAGAGTGCGGTGGCCGCTCCCAGCCACCGCAGCCTCTACCTGCTGGGCTCCGGTGATCCTTCCGCCTCAGCCTTTCTAGCAGCCGGAATTACAGGCATGCGCTACCACGCCTGGCTGATTTTTTGATTTATTGTCGAGATGAGGTCTCACTGCCCAGGCAGGTCTCGAACCCGCGGGCTCAGGCAATCCACTCACCTCAGCCTCCCAAAGGCGCGGGATTACAGGCTGAGCCACCGAGCCCGGCTTGCCTCAGCCTTCTAAGTAGCTGGAACTACAGGCACGTGCTACCATGCCTGGCTAAATTTTTTATTTATTGTAGAGACGAGGTCTTGCCAAGTTGCCCAGGTTGGTCTCGAACCCACAGGCTCAGGCAATCCATTCACCTCGGCCTCCCAAAGTGCTGGAATTGCAGGCTGAACCACTGAGCCCAGTCCACAGTACCTCTCTTAAGGATTGTGAAGGATTCCTTAGAGGGGTCATGAAACCCACATGCCCATAGGGTTTGGGCAGGTAAATGAGCACAGCAGGCTGATTGGGAACTGAAGAAACGAAGGGCATATGCTCCAGATAAAGGGGTGGCTGTGCTGCTCCTGCTCGGTTGTCATTGCCTGGGAGCCCAGGTTCCCTGCATCAGGGCTTCTGACTTTTCAGAGAAGTCAGATACCAAGGTCTCTGTGTGTGTGTGTGTGTGTGTGTGTGTTGAGACAGGGTTTCACTCTTATCCAGGCTGGAGTGCAGTAGCCTGATCATGACTTGCCACAGCCTTGACCTCTTGGGCTCAAGTGGTTCTTCTGCCTCAGTCTCTTGAGAAGCTGGGACTGTAGGTGCACACTACCAGGTTCAGCTAATTTTTCTATTTTTTTGTAGAGATGGGGTCTTGCTTATTTTATTATATTTTTTTTTGAGTTGGAGTCTCACTCTGTCGCCCAGACTGGAGTGCAGTGGCCGCTCCCAGCCACCGCAGCCTCGACCTGCCGGGCTCCGGCGATCCTTCCGCCTCAGCCTTCCAAGTTGCTGGAACTACAGGCGTGCACTACCACGCCCGGCTAATTTTTTGGTTTATGGTAGAGATGAGGTCTCGCCAAGTTGCTCAGGTGGGTCTCGAACCTGCGGGCTCAGGCAATCTACTCACCTCAGCCTCCCAAGGCATGGGATTACAGGCTGAGCCACCGAGCCCAGCTGGAGGTCTTGCTTATTGCCCAGGCTGGTCTCGAACTTCTGGCCTCCAGCAATCCTTCTGCCTCAGCCTCTCAAAGTGTTGGGATTATAGACATGAGCCACCATGCTCCACTGTGATACTAAGTTCTTTGTATGAAATAATTAATTTTTAAATATAAGCAACTCATTACAGTTTTGAAAAATAACTGGGTGGATCAACTTGAACATGGCTATAAGCTGAGTGCAGTTTACAGGCTGCATGTTTATGGCCTTGGCATGAGATGATGTATCACTAAGGATAGCATCTCACATGCTGTGTGTATGTATAACCATGAAAAAGGAGTCCTCTGACATCAAATCTAGTCTGTCCCAGGCAATCCACCCTTCCCTGGGGTCAGAATTGATATGTTTTAGTCCTGGATCTTTTTGTCAGTATTGCAGGTGATCTTTGCCACTTACCCTGTCTGGTCCTCAGTTTCCCTATCAGCTAAATGGTGAGAGTGGCTCTTGCTTTTCTAGCCTTTGGCTGCTACAGAGGCTGTGATGGTGTCTTATACCACTCTCCAGCCCTGAAAAGCTGGTTCTGCCGATTGAGGAAAAGGTGGGGAGAGGCTTGGGTGTCCTCTCCAGGCTGAGGCAACTGTCCAAGACCAGCCAAGTCCTTCCCCCTGGTCTCCTTGGGCACTGTCATGTGGGACCGGATGTTTTACCCCTAAGGACCTCAAGGAGTGCCCTGTTCTGTGCAATCAAGTCCCCAGGATTGTTGTGGGCTTAAGAAACAGTTCTTGCTTGATTGGGAGAAATGTGACTTTCTGTCTGGCAAGAAATTGGGCAGGCCTTGGAAATGACAGCAGGGTTGGGAGTGAAAGAGGCAAAGCCCTCACCTCTCGCCCCAGCCAGGCCCCACCTGGCCCTCTCCTTAGCTCTTTCCTCCGTCGCTGCCAAGATGTAGTTTGGGGACAGGACATTCGGGGGCTTCATGCCTCACATATTGTATGCAGGCAAGGGGTTAGGGACCTGGGTTAATGAAAGTGACCGAGAGCAGTAGGAGGAAGAACTTGGCTGGTCTTGGGGCAGCTGCCCCAGCCTTGAGAGGATACCCAAGCCTCTTCCCACTTCTTTCTCAGTCGGCAGAACCAGCTTTTCAGGGTTGGAGAGTGATATAAAGATGCAGAGAGCAGCCACCATTTATGAAGTTACCTACTTACTCTGACCAGTCTGAATGTCCGTGACTTGTGTAACAGCTATGGCAGATGAATGGTCCATCCTACAAATGAGGAAGCTGAAGTTTATAGATTGACCTGCTCTCATAGCTGGTAAATATTGGGCCAGGAGCAGAAGCTGTATCCAAGTTTTTTTTTGTTTTTTTTTTTGGGGGGGCGTTGGAGTCTCACTCTGTCATCTCACGCTGGAGGGCAGTGGCACGCTCTTGGCCACCCAAGCCTCGACCTGCTGGGCTCCTGAGATCCTTCTGCCTCAGCTTTCCAAGTAGCCAGAACTATAGGCACGTGCTACCATGCCTGGCTAATTTTTGATTTATTATAGAGACGAGGTCTCACCAAGTTGCCTGGCTGGGTCTTGAACCCATGGGCTCAGGCAGTCCTCTCGCCTCGGCCTCCCAAAGTGCTGGGATTACAGGCTGAGCCACTGAGCCCGGCCTTCAAGTTGTTGACCTTATGATTCAGGGTCCTGGGAGAAGGAAAAGTCCTGGGCTAGCAAGTTCAGGCCAAGAAAAAAGGATGATTCCATGTGTATTCTGGGAGTTGGAGGCCTTCATTCCGCTTCTAGAACTGACATGGATTCAGGGCTGGGCTCTGACCCTACTTTTGCTTGTCTCTCCCCTGAACACATTAATCTTCTGTAGGCTACTTTCTTTATCTATTAAGTATAAGGATAAACCCTGCCCTTCCTACTTCTCGAGGGTGTTTGGGAGGCTCTAATGACACAGTGAAAAAACCACTTGGGGATGCTGGGCTGTGGGACAAAGGCTGTCTTTTATCATAGGATGGGACTTTGGGTCCTAAGGGGTAGGGAGAGGCCCCATCCAGAGCTTGAAGCTAAGAAAGGGAGATCAGCGTTGATCTGATCAACTTCTCTAAAGTGCAGCCACTTTGCCTTCTTTTCAGGCTTCTCTTATGCATTTCAGCACTTGTCATAGTTAGAGGTTTGCCTTGTTTAACCCCAGCCTCTGTCCTCCTTGGTTTTTGCAAAGCTGCACTAGAGACCATAAGCTGAGATGCTTGAGACACGTTTAGGTGCTCTGGAGCTAGACAGACCTGGGTTCATATCCTAGCTCTGTTATCACTAGCTGCGTCACCTTGGGCAAATCATTCCACCTTTCTGAGCCTCAACTTCCTCATTTGTAAAAGGAGGATGGCAATGTTTTTATTAGTTATTGTCCTTCTGGGGGCACATGGTAGAAGCTCTATCCAAACCAGTGTATTAGTTATCTCTACTGTACCAGGGAGATCCCAAAAAACCCAGAAATATCTTTTGGAGGATGGGCCCCCTCGTAGTATATTCGGAATTTGTTCCTCTGGATCAAACAGTCAACCAAAGTTTTTATCTGAAAGTTTTGAGAAGGTTGTGTCACGATTTGTGGAAGAAATGGCCCAAGTTGTGGCAAGCAGGTGACTGGTTCACCATGACAATACCCACACTGCTCTGAGTTTTTTGACCCCTGTGCCTCGCCCTCCCTATTCGCCCGATCTTGCTCCAAGAAACTTTTTTTGTTTCCCTGATGAAAAAAGTCTCAGAGGAACATGTTTTGCCAGTGTGGAAGAGGCAAAACTTTAAAAAACAGCAAAAGCACTAAAAGGCATCAAAATTGACAAGTTCAAAAATTGTTTTGAGTAGTGGAAAAAGTATCCTGATAGGTGTATTGCATCAAATGGAGAGTACTTTGAGGTGACTGAAGTTTAAACATATAAGAATAAATGGACAATTTAAGAAAAAATTTTGGTTTTTATTGGGTTTCTCCTTGTATATTACAGAATACATGAGGCCCATGTGTACACAGCAACTCTCATTCCTTAGTTTTCAGATTTCAGGAGAAAATTCCACAATCATGAGATTCTGATTTACTTGTTGAGTCTGCCAGGCACACACAGCTGGTGTGTAGGGGGCTCACAATTTACACTGAAAACTCCAGTCTGCTGGAGTATTGTCTCATTTTTCTATGGGTCAGGAATTTGATATCACCTTAGCTGGCTGGTTTTGCCTTTTTTTTTTTTTTTGAGTTGGAGTCTCACTGTTACACAGGCTGCAATGCAGTGGCACGATCATGGCCACTGCAGCCTTGACCTGCTGGGCTCAGGAGATCATTCCACCTCAACCTACCAAGAAGCTGGAACTGCAGGCACGCGCCACCATACCTGGTTACTTTTTTGATTTATTATAAAGACGAGGCCAAGTTGCCTAGGCTGGTCTCAAATCCCTGGGCTCAGGTAAACCTCTCGCACCTACCAAAGTGCTGGAATTACAGGCTTGAGCCACTGTTCCTGGCCTGGCTGTGGGTCTTTGATAAGGTTGCAGTAAAGATTTTTGTCAGGGTTGAATCATCTGAAAGTTTGACTGGGACTGGAAGATCCTCTTCACATCACTGTTAACAGGAGGTCTAAGTTCTTCACCCATGGGCCTCCCCATAGTGCTGTTTACTTGTCCTTATTAGATGGCAGCTGGCTTCCCCTATAGTAAGTGATTCAGGAGAGAGCAAGGAGGAAACCACAGTGTCTTATGACCTTGTGTCCAAGGTCACACAAAGGAGTATCAAATAATTTGTAGATATATTTTAATCAAAAAAGGAACCAATATAGTAAAAGAAAGAACTTTATTGGCTATAAGATGGATTCAGACACTTGATCCAGGATTCAATATCATCATAGCTTTGTCTTACTCTGTCTCTTGGCTCTTTTTCTCCCCCTACCTTCACTTCATTTGTTAAATAGACCTGCCATAGGTGAACCGACACTGATGCCCTTCCCTGTTGCGGAATTATAGTGGAATTGGAGCACTCCATCTCTACCTATCATGGCAAATATGTCATGTCCATACATAAATTCCAGAGAAGCATTTTGGTTAGCTGCTTGGGTTGGTGAAGGATGAGGAAGGAGGTGTATGTAATTGATGGTCTTGCTGGGACTACTTGGAGGGAAGGATATGGCATGATGGTTCCCTCTTGAGAACCAGAATAGCACATTCACATTCACTGAGGCTGGCTGTGAGATGGATTAAGGTAATATGGGTAATACATATGGCAGATATCCCAGCAGAACAGTTTCTGCCTCTCTTGGGCAGAACATGACACTGATTCCAGGTCTTCCTGTGCTTCTCCCCAGCTGGATGAGGCCGTGGCTGAAGCTCACCTGGGCAAGCTGAACGTGAAGCTGACCAAGCTGACTGAGAAACAGGCCCAGTACCTGGGCATGTCCCGTGACGGCCCCTTCAAGCCTGAACACTACCGCTACTGAGAGACAGGCCTCTCCTCACATTTCAGCTGCTGTCCTTGTTCAAGCCTCATCTCTCCCCCCCCCAGAGCAAATGGCACCAACTTTATGATTGGTTTGTCAGTATCCCCTGTTGAATCCCTGGGGCTGGTAACTCAGTTTTTGGCCTCTGTTCTTCCTTCTGTTCCAAGTAGGGCAGGGGGAATTGAGAGGCCCTGGTTGTGATGCAGGTACAAGGGAACCATGAGCTCAGCGGTCTTGGATCTGCTCCCTGGGTCAGTCCTTCCTTAGGCCTGAAGTTGGTAGTGGTGGTCATTCACAAAGCCTGTGTACTGTACCACTGAAGACCTGGCCTATGGTCTTCATAGGTTCAGTGGTTTCTCAGCCCATAACAGATGGTAAGGAGCTATATTGAAGGGCAGGGAGGAATTGTTGGAGCTTGAGTGATCCTGAGAGTCTGCCTTAGTGCTGGGCCTTCTCTTAAACCTGTAACAATGAGGTTGGTACTTACAGTCCCTATTTTACAGGGGTTGGAATAGACTGTTAAGGGATAATTGAGAAAGGACAAGAGAAGTGACAGCCAGAGGTTGAGAGGGGCCAGAAAAATATAAAAGCATGCATAGATCTGATACCACTTTGAACATGATAGTTCCTATCACAACCCTGGGTCAAAAAGAGTAATTTGGTTGATAATGTTTATTATGTTAAAAGAAAGCAGGAAGGTGGGTCAATAAAAATTTTGGTGCCTAAAAGAGTTTTGAGCCTTTATTATATAGACAACCCACTGCCAATGATGTATGGTATGAGCAAGGGCTTATAGTCATGTACTGATAAAACATTGAGAAGACCAGGTTCTGTCTGCGGTGTGGGATGGTGAGGCTGCAGACACCCTTACACCTGAAAGGATGGTTAAAGTAAAGAGGGAACTCATTTCTTCAGGTGTCTCTTATAAATAACCTGTTTTTAATCCAATCTGACACTTATTTGATAGATTAATTTAACCCACTTATAATTATTGTAATCTCTGTATTTCCTCTACCTTATTTTGTGTGTTCCTATTCATATGTTTTCTTCCCATTTCTACTTGTCTTTGGATTGATCCAGTGTGATCCAGGAACTATTATTTATTGAGTGCTTATGGGTACCCGAGGCTCCACAGTTTATTTACTTTATTCTCACAACAATCTTAGTAATGTTATTATCTTAATTTTATTTATTCATATTTGTTTATTTATTTTGAGTCAGAGTCTCACTGTCTCCCAGGATGGAGTGCAGTGACATGCTTACAGCCACTGTAGCCTCGACTTGCTGGACTTAAGTGATCCTTCCACCTCAGCCTTCCAAATAGCTGGAACTACGGGCACCACCATGCCTGGCTAATTTTTGATTTATTGTAGAGACAAAATCTCACCAAGTTGCACGACTGGTCTCAAACCCGTGGGCTCAGGCAATCTACTCACCTCAGCCTCCCAAAGTGCTGGGATTACAGGCTGAGCCACCGAGCCTGGCCTATTTATTTATTTTTAAGAGAGAGAGTTTTGCTTTGTCACCCAGGCTGGAATGCAGTGGCACAATCATAGCTCACTGCAACCTTGACTTCCTGGGGTCAGGCAAACCTCCAGGTGAATGCCACCAGGCCTAGCTAATTTTTTTTGTTTGTTTTGTTTTTAAGTTGGAGTCTGACTCCATTTCCCAGGATGGAGTACAGTGACACGCTCATGACCATTGCAGCCTCAACTTGCTGATCCTTCCACCTCAGCCTTCCAAGTAGCTGGAACTACAGGCACACACCACCATGCCTGGCTAATTTTGATGTATTGTAGAGATGAGGTCTCACCATGTTGTCCATGCTGGTCTCAAACCCATGGGCTCAGGCTGTCCTCTTGCCTCCACTTCCCAAAGTACCCGGCGTATTACCTTAATTTTATAGATGAGGCTGGGTAGTCATAGAGATGACTTTCCTAAAGTCACACAAGAGGCCTCATCATGATTCGAATTACAGGAAGATGGGTGAGAAGTTGGACTTATAATTTGCCTAAATAATCATTTACTGAACCTGTGGTCTGGTGTTGGAAATAAAAAATAACCCACTTGAGAAGGATAACTGGAGACTATTCTAAGGGCCATCTGCTAAATGGCAGACCTGATGGAGATGCTGGGATGTTTGCAAGCTGACCCCAGCTGACTGGAATCTCAACCCAGAGGGAGAAGGCAGGTGCATAAACAGCTTTGCCATCTCCTGGGACTTCCCTTTTTTCTGCTCAGTTTTATAGTTTAATGTCTGGCAACAGAAAGAGAAAGGCATCAGGAAAAGGTAGTGCTTGAACGAGATTTTGAACTTAATTTAAAAAATTTTTTTGAGTCAGTGTTTTACTCTGTCACCCAGTCTGGAGTACAGGTGGCACGCTCATGGCCACTGCAGCCTCGACCTGCTGGACTCAGGTAATCCTTTTGCCTTAGCCTTCCAAGTAGCTGGAACTATAGGTGTGCACCACCACACTCAGCTAATTTTTCTTTTTTTGAGTTGGAGTCTCACTCTGTCACCCGGACTGGAGTGCGGTGGCTGCTCCCGGCCACCGCAGCCTCGACCTGCTGGGCTCCGGCGATTCTTCCGCCTCAGCCTTCCGAGTAGCCAGAATTACAGGCGCGCGCTACCATGCTCGGCTGATTTTTAAAATTTATTGTAGAGATGAGGTCTTGCCAAGTTGCCCAGGCGGGCCTCGAACCTGTGGGCTCAGGCAATCCACTCACCTCAGCCTTCCAAGGCGCAAGATTACAGGCTGAGCCACCGAGCCCGGCAGCTAATTTTTCTTGATTTGTTGTAGAGATGAAGTCTCACCAAGTTGCCCAGGCTGGTCTTGAATCCCTGGACTCAGGCAGTCCTCTGGCCTCTGCCTCATGTTTAATTCAAAGTTGTTTAAATGTTCCAAGGTAGCTTCTTTGATTATTGTAACTTTTTTTTTTCACTTTGTCACCCAGGCTGCTGTGCAGTGGCATACTCACGGCCATCCCAGTGCCTCCCAAAGTTCTGGGATTACAAATGTGAGTCCCCATGCCTGGCAGAACTGAAGTTTTTTTTTTTAATTTTTTTTATTTTTTGAGTTGGAGTCTCACTCTGTTGCCCAGACTCTGGAGTGCAGTGGCCGCTCCCGGCCACCGCAGCCTCTACTTGCTGGGCTCCGGCGTTCCTTCCGCCTCAGCCTTCCGGGTAGCCGGAATTACAGGCATGCGCTACCACGCCCGGCTGATTTTTTGATTTATTGTAGAGATGAGGTCTCGCTGCCCAGGCGGGTCTCGAACCCACGGGCTTAGGCAATCCACTCACCTCAGCCTCCCAAAGGCGCAGGATTGCAGGCTGAGCCACCGAGCCCGGCTTAGAACTGAAGCTTTTTAACAGGAGAAATTAAAGACAAGGGCATTCTTTAGTGAGAGGGTGTGGAGTGGGGAATTGCTGTTTGACTGTTGTGTAGGGGGTGCTATGAGAGAGAAAGGCTGGACAGATAGCCTAGAGGACAGGAAGGAGAGGCCTTGAGTATAAGGATGAAACCTTTGGTTTTAATTCTTAAGCAGCACAGACCCCTGGAATGTCCTATTTAATTGAATTTTCCACAGTTGCTTGTAAGTTTTTGTGTTCTTAGCCTCTGGCTGTGTGGTGGTATTACTGCTATGTTACTAATGGTGAAAGAGGCTCAGAGGCCAAGTGGTTGACCCAGGATCACACGTAAGTAGCGACACCTAGACTCCAACTCAGGTTTGGCTGAGTCTAGGTCCATGCTCGCATGTGAGACAGATGGGAAATGTTTAAACGAAGACTTCCATTTAAGGCATGATGTTTTGACGGAAGATAGTGACTGGGGTTGGGGCTGTCTTTAGTCTTTCTTGTTTTGTTTTTGTTTTTTTTCCTTGTTGGCATGGAGTGCAGAGTGGCATGCTCACAGCCACCACAGCCTGGACCTGCTGCATCTGGCCTCGTTTTCCTTATTCAGAGTTCAGATTTGAATAAAAAGGAAACAGGAGGTGCCAGAGATTGAGGCTGATCCCCACAGATCAGCTTTCCCAGCTGTAAGTCTGTAGCCTTATGCTTCGAACTCCCTTGACTGGCGTTGCAACTTCCATCTCTGTTTGCTTTAAAGTACATTGAGTGGGGACTCACATTCGTTCTAAAGATCTGATGTCAAGCTGGGCTTGGTGGCTCAGCCTGTAATCATGTGCTTTGGGGGGCTGAGTTGAGTGGATTGCCTGAGCCCATGGGTTCGAGACCCGCCTGGGCAACTTGGTGAGACCTCATCTCTACAATAAATCAAAAAATTTGCCAGGTGTGGTAGCACGCACCTGTAGTTCCAGCTGCTTGGAAGGCTGAGGCAGAGGGATCGCTGGAGCCCAGCAGGTCGAGGCTGCAGTGGCTGGGAGCGGCCACTGCACTCCAGGCTGGATGACAGAGTGAACTAAAAAAAAAAAAATCTGATGTCAAGCAAAACTCTTAAGTCACACTCAGTGACCAGTTAGAGAGGCATGGGGGGCTGAAAACTGCTCACTTAGGCTTGTCAGGATGTCCTGCTATTAGACAATTAATTCTCACCTTTTGTTTTCTTGAAGCTTTTCTATAGCTGAAGCTTCTTAAGTTACAGGCATGTATGATGTGACCCTGTTGTAAATAGTTTACAGACTGTGATACTTCAACTATTAGTACCAAAGGGTTCCCATTTCCCAACTGATCACGACCCCAGTGGTCAAAACACTGAGATCCATTACACACCCACTACCATTTCTTGTACACCTGTGACAGGCGTCGAACAAACATAGGTATGATTTTATTTCTCATGATTACTTTGTAGAGACTTGAATTCCCATGGCTGAGGCTGTAGGGGGCCATGAGAATGGTTTTTGTAGTAGGTAGGACTCTGAGACTGAAATCCCAGCCCTTTGCATACCCGTAGGGCCAGGCTCAGGAGGAAGGGAGCCTGGTTTCACACTCCTCAACACTAGGGTCAGCAACTGTGGAACTGTAACCCACATCCCCCAAAGACAAGGCTGCCACCAGAGAGAGTGGCCCGCAGCCCCACCTCAGTTCCTCCACGAAGGTAGCCACTGGGCAATGACTTCTAAGTAGAAAAGAGGGAGGGAGGCTTCTGTTCATCTGAGCCAGAGGTAAACGCCTTATGTTGCGAAGCAGCCATGCTGCTCCCTCCCAGGGGCCCCTGCCCATCTGCAAGGATGCTCCCTTTTCTAGTCTGCCTCCTCCCAGACACAGGAAATAGCCTTTCAAAATGTTTCCTCCTGTGAGATCCCATGCACTCCCCACCTCCGGTCCTTCAGGGGCTCTGGTTTCTGTTATCCCAGCGTTTTCCTATTGGATGTCCTGTCCATTTTCACAACTTTTTTTTTTTTTTTTTTTAAAAGCCCCTTCCTTTCACATCTGGTCTCACACTTCCCTCTGATCTCAAGTCTGCTAATCTGTCACATGTGCCGCCCTGACCAGGTACCCACAATGGAAGATGATGTGTCTCCTGCTCCCCTACCCCCTCTCCTCATGGCTGGGCTACTCCATCAAAGCTTCATGGGAAAGAAGAGTTGACTAAAGGTCCTGCAGCATCCAGGTCTGGCCCTGGTTGGAATTTAGTACAGAGAAGGGAGGATGAGGCCTGGGGCAGGGTTTGTGGAGCAGTTGGCTGAGCTTTGGGAGGTGACCTGGGTCTGCTGTTGATTTCACGATGTTACTCGGCAGGGCCAGAAATAGCCATCTCAGATGGTT